GCTCCTCAAAGGCTGACTCAGAAACCAAGTCACAGCACAGTGATTCACTAGGTGACATAAGCTCCTTGATTCAAAAGGAAGTTGCCAAATACATGTCTAGCCAACAGACCACAGAAACTCATTCTTTCTCACACTTTGTTGACTATACAGAAGATAAGGAAGACTATGCTTTTTCTCTAATCAGCAAACTCAGTAGGGGCTCATGGATAATTGATACAGGAGCAAGTAAGCATATATGTTCTGATATTAACCTGGTTTGCAAGAAATCAGTGACTACAGTGCCTATTGTTGTGAACCTTCCTGATGGTTCAAAAGTGAAAGTAACTCAGATTGGTGAGGTAAGGTTTAATGATGAAATCACACTCAAAGATGTTTTGGTGATTCCTGAGTTCAAATATAACCTGCTGTCTGTTGGACAATTTGTGGAAAAGGATAAACTACAGTTCATTTTCACAAAAGGTGAGTGCAGATTGTTGAAGGGAGATGGAGATTCAGTCATGGCTGTGGGAAAAGCAATTGGGGGGTTGTATATAATAGAGGGGCATAGTACCTATGTTAGTGCTGTTAATGGGAGTTTGATCAATCAGAAAGAATTGGCTCTATGGCATAAAAGAATGGGACACAGCTCAATAAATTGCTTGAGGCACTTGAGTTTCATAAACAATGACAGCTGCAAATTAGACCTGGACATTTGTGATGTATGCCACAGGTCAAAACAGTGCAGGCTTCCCTTTCCTCTTAGTCACATACAAAGTAAAGAAAAACTGGAACTTATCCATATTGATGTATGGGGGCCACATCATGAAGAGTCCATGACAAATACCTCCTACATGCTCACCATAGTTGATGATTATACCAGAGCCACCTGGATTTACCTGATGAGATACAAGGCAGAAACAGTCATTAATGTTAGGGATTTTCTGAGAATGGTGGAAGTTCAGTTTTGATTTAAAGTTAAGCAGATAAGAACAGATAATGGGGGAGAGTTTGTTAATAAAGAAATGGAAATGTTGTTGAAGGATAATGGAATAATACACCAAAAGACTTGTCCTTATACTCCACAACAAAATGGTGTTGTGGAGAGAAAACACAGGTCCATTCTTGAGGTGGCAAGATCATTGGCTTTCCAGTGCAAACTGCAAAGAAATCTTTGGCCTTATAGTTTTTTAGCAGCAGTACAAATCATCAACACATTACCAAGTGAGAAGCTGAAGTGGAAATCTCCTTATGAGCTCTTGCATGGCAGTGAACCAGCATATGGAATGTTTAAGGTGTTTGGTTGCTTGTTTTATGCAAGTAGGCTTGGTCTCAACAGGAAGAAATTTGATGAGAGGGCCATGCCTTGTGTGTTTCTGGGATACATCTCAGGGACAAAGGGGTACAGATTGTATAGTTTGGAATCTAAGGAAGTGTTTGTTTCCAGAGATGTTATATTCTATGAAGAAAGGTTTCCTTTCATAGATAAAGAATCTTTGACCCCCGAAAATTAACCACTGGAGCCAGTTGTTGATGATTTCACTACATGTGAGCCTGAACCACATGTGTTGAACAATGAAAGGCATGACCCACCTGCTGAAGAAAATGTTGCAGTAAGAAGAAGTTGTAGGGTCAGGCATCCACCTGCTTGGTTATCTGACTATGAAATAAGTTTACAAAGTGATGAAGAAACAAATCTATTTTTTTCTGAAATAGATAAGACAACCTAAGAGCCAACTTATTATGAGCAGGCCATTGGTGACAATAGATTGATTGATGCAATGCATAAGGAACTGCAGGCTTTGGAATCTAACAACACTTGGATTCTTACCAAGTTAACAACAGGGAAGAAAACCATTGGATCTAAATGGGTATATAAAATTAAAAGGAATCCAGATGGCACAATTGATAAGTTCATGGCATGATTGGTGGCAAAGGGTTTCTTGCAAAGGGAAGGGATAGATTTTGTGGACAGTTTCTCACCTGTTGCAAAGCTTGTTTCAGTCAGGCTGCTCATAGCATTGGCCACACAACAGAAATGGCAGCTGCACCATATTGATATCAATAATGCCTTTTTGCATGGATTCCTTGATGAGGAAGTATATATGTTACCTCCTAAGGGATATGACAAGGCTAAGAAGGGGGAGGTTTGCTTACTTAAGAGAAGCTTGTATGGGCTCAAACAAGCATCTAGACAGTGGAACATTGAGTTTTCTGATAAGCTCATTACATATGGTTTTAAACAGTCACCACATGATCATTGCCTTTTCTTCAAACATTCAAGTCATGGATTGCTTGCCCTTCTTATTTATATGGATGATGTGCTCATTACACGGAAATCTTTGGAGGATATTAAGAATCTTAAGTCTTATCTTCATGATCTGTTTACTTTAAAGGACTTGGGACAGGCAAAGTACTTTCTTGGAGTTGAAATTCTTAGAACAGGTGCAGGCACTTACCTTAGTCAAAGGAAGTATATCATGGACATTGTGCATGATTTTGGGCTGGAGAATTCTAAGCCTACCACCACACCTTTGCCACAAGGGTTGAATTTATCTTCATTGCAGTCACCACCACTTGATAATCCAGAGAAGTTTAGAAGATTAGTTGGGAGACTTCTTTATTTGAACCTATCCATAGCTGATGTTTCTTATGCCATCCAACAACTTAGCCAGTTTGTCCATTCTCCTTCCCAAGGACATTGGACTGCAGGTATGCACTTGCTCAGATATTTGAAGGGAACACCAACACTGGGACTTTTCTATGCAGACAAGACTTCTATGCAGTTGGAAGCATTTTGTGATGCAGACTGGGGGGGATGTGCTATCACTCGACGGTCATTGACAGGTTATTGTATTTTCTTGGGGCAAGCATTGATCTCTTGGAAAACTAAAAAGCAAAGGACTGTGTCAAGATCATCCTCTGAAGCGGAGTACATATGCATGGCTTCAACAGTTTGTGAATTGCAATGGCTCACTTACTTGGCAAATGATCTCGGGTTGCCCTTTTCTACTCATATCTCTCTTTGGTGTGATAACAAGGCAGCTTTACATATCTCTACCAACCCAGTTTTCCATGAACGAACGAAGCATTTGGACATTGATTGTCACGTTGTTCGTGATCAATATAAAGCCGGTCTCATTTTACCTCAGCACATCTCCTCTTCCCTTCAACCGACTGATGTGTTCACAAAATCTCTTGGTGGTGCTGACTTTTTTCGGTTCATTTGCAAGCTTGGAA